TGAACCATTCATCTACAAACACTGTTTTTCTTGAACACACTGGGATTTTCAGAGTTATACACCAGTAAAGGCTTCACTTTAAAATCCCCACTAGCCTTACTACAAAACATGAGAGTAAGCCTATCCTTCATAGGCTTGTGTCCTGGGGGTGCCGTTTCCTCCTGCGTGTTGTAGGTCCTCTTTGGCATTTTCTTCTAAAAGAGGCCTGTTTTGTCACACTTAAACACTTGTTGGGGTTTGAATTCTCCAGTGTCTACGCACTCCTTAAACTCCTGTACAAACTTCTCAGCTGCAATTTTGTCAGAAATGGCAGCCTCACCATGCCTTATCACACTGTGAATGCCACTACACTTCTTAAGTCTCTCAAACCAACCTTTGCTGGCCTTAAAATCACAAGCACCATCACTTGTTGCAGGCATTTTCTTTACGAGATCGTCGTGCAACTGCCTTGCCTTTTCACATATCGACTGCGTAACACTATCTCCTGCTAACTGTTTTTCGGTAATCCACACCAACAATAACCTCTCCACTTCTTCGAGGATTTGTGATCTCCTTTTTGTCAGCATATCTACCCCTTTTGCAACAACAGCACACTTTATTTCCTTTCCTTTCGCCATGATCGAAGTGTTGGTTGAATGGGGTTTGCCATACAACCTGGCAAGCTCTGTAACATGCACTCCACTCATAAGAACATAAGAAAGGAGGAACACTGCAGGAGGCCTGTTGGCCCATACTAGGCAGGTCCTTTACAATTCATCCCACTAACAAAACATTTGCCCAACCCAATTTTCAATGCCACCCAAGAAATAAGCTCTGATGTGAAAGTCCCACTCAAATCCAACCCCTCCCACTCATGTACTTATCCAACCTAAATTTGAAACTACCCAAAGTCCCAGCCTCAATAACCCAACTAGGTAGACTGTTCCACTCATCAACTACCCTATTTCCAAACCAATACTTTCCTATGTCCTTTCTAAATCTAAACTTATCTAATTTAAATCCATTACTGCGGGTTCTCTCTTGGAGAGACATCCTCAAGACCTTATTAATATCCCCTTTATTAATACCTATCTTCCACTTGTACACTTCGATCAGGTCTCCCCTCATTCATCGTCTAACAAGTGAATGTAACTTAAGAGTCTTCAATCTTTCTTCATAAGGAAGATTTCTAATGCTATGTATTAATTTAGTCATCCTACGCTTAATGTTTTCTAACGAATTTATGTCCATTCTGTAATATGGAGACCAGAACTGAGCTGCATAATCTAGGTGAGGCCTTACTAATGATGTATAAAGCTGCAATATGACCTCTGGACTTCTGTTGCTTACACTTCTTGATATAAATCCCAGTAATCTATTTGCCTTATTACGTATGCTTAGGCATTGCTGTCTTGGTTTAAGGTTGCTGCTCACCATAACCCCCAAGTCCTTTTCGCAATCTGTATGGCTAAGTTCTACATCATTTAACTTATAAGTACTAGGGTTATGGGCACTCCCAAGCTTCAGAACCTTGCATTTATCTACATTGAACTGCATCTGCCACTTTTCTGACCAAGAATAGAGTTTGTTTAAATCCTCCTGAAGTTCCATAACATCTACATTTGAATCAATTATCCTACCTATCTTTGTGTCATCGGCGAATTTGCTCATATCACTAGTACAGTGGACCCCCGGTTAACGATATTTTTTCACTCCAGAAGTATGTTCAGGTGCCAGTACTGACCGAATTTGTTCCCATAAGAAATATTGTGAAGTAGATTAGTCCATTTCAGACCCCCAAACATACACATACAAACGCACTTACATAAATACACTTACATAATTGGTCACATTTGGAGGTAATCGTTATGCGGGGGTCCACTGTAATTCCCTCAAGATCATTGATATATATTATAAACAACAACGGGCCCAAGACTGATCTCTGTGGAACGCCACTTGTTACAGATCCCCACTCGGATTTAACCCCATTTATGGACACTCTCTGCTTCCTGTCAGTGAGCCATGACTCGATCCACGAGAGCACTTTTCCCCCAATGCCATGAGCTGCCACTTTCTTTAACAGTCTATGGTGCGGAACTCTATCAAAAGCCTTACTAAAATCTAAGTAAATAATCTCAAATTCTTTATCGTGGTCAACAGCCTCAAAAGCTTTACTGAAGAAAGTTAATAAATTAGTTAGACAAGACCGGCCTCTTGTGAATCCATGCTGAGTATCATTAATCAAGCTATGCTTATCGAGATGGCTTCGCGTATTTTTCAATGATTTCCTTCTTGAATTCGATCGTGTTCCTCACTTTCTTTACCAAAGGGCTTGCACTAGCTTTCCTTGGGCCCATGGTGACTTATTTAGCAGTTGCAATCACAAAAAACAATGGATTATTATGTATGAACCCGTGGGGTGATGGTCACGTGTTGGTAAACAATGGCACACTGAGCGTGAATGGCATGGGAGACTGGCTTTGTGTGCGCGGTGACAGGCGGACGGGTACCGGACGGTCGCCGAATCACGAACCACGAGGCCAAATTTTGCCGAAAAAACTTGCCAAAAGTCTGATTTCACAAAAATTGATGCAGCCAAAACTCGAGGGTCCACCGTACACTGTTGCATACTGATATAAAAGTTAGGTAATTGAAGTGATTAACATTAATTACTCTGATAATAGTGAGGTACTACAAAACATATATCAATATTACAATTAGTTAATTTAGTAATGGGAATGATTTTATTTTAGCACAATACACCGTTTCTGTAAAAGCTCCGATATTGGGAGAGTATTTCAGGCAAATGTAGGACTAACATAAAATTTATTAGGAATTTTGTTTACAGTCATTTGGGTGAGTGTTAGTGTAAAAAGGGGGTGAATCACAGATAACGAGAGGTCTATTTTGTATGGATGTATTCATGATACAAAAAGAGAAAAGGTGGTTTTCACATTAGTTAGCTGATGGTGGGGTGTGTCAAGGAGATAAGATGTTTTTTAACGGTAGTTTTGAAAACGGTGGTCGAGTCTGCGGGGCTAGAGTTTTCGGACAGGGAGCTCCAGATTTTAGTCCCTTTTATGTACATTGAGTTTTTGTGGAGATTTAGCTGGACATGAGAAATGTCTTTTAGATTTTTGTGTCTGGTATTGTGTCTATTGGTCCTGTTGCAACTATCAAGAAAGTGTTGTAGTTCAGGGTTAATATTAGAATTTATGGTTCTGTAAATGTAGGTTGAACAGTAGTAGGTGTGAATGTTTTGTACAGTGACTAAAGTGAAAAAAGTGGTGGGCTATTTAACCCTTTCAGGCTTATGCACCAGGGTTTTTCATGTACTAGTATGCCTAAATTCTAGCGCCCTCAAATCTAGTGAGAGAAAGCTGGTAGGCCTACATAGGAAAGAATGGGTCTGTGGTCAGTGTGCACAGTATAAAAAAAATCCTGCAGCACACAGTGTGTAATGAGAAAAAAAAACTTTGACCGTGTTTTTGGATTAAAACAGCGACTTTGCACTGTATTTTCGTATGGTATTTATTGTTGTATTCTAGATTTCCTGGTCTCATTTTATAGAATGGAAGACATACTACAGAAATTGTGATGATTTTGACTGGTTTTAGAATGAAAAGTACCTTGAAATTGAGCTCAAAGTAGCAGAAATGTTCGATTTTTACCAAAGTTCAAGAGTAAACAAATCATGATAAGCGTACAATACACGTCAACTGGTGAGTCTAATGTTCTTTCACAAGTGTGCTGATATTATTTATACCATTTCTACACTAATGCAGTAGTCTGCATAACAGTAAATATTCTTTTTTTTTTTTTTTTTTTTTTTTTTTTGTGAGAAGAAAAATTCAAAGTGGGGAGCAAAAGAATGTAAGAGGGGTGTGGGGACATGACTAATGAACAGAGGAAATGTTATTTTAGTGCCAGGAATGTCTCTCTTGTTTATTCTGGACCCTATTCGGAAATTGGCATCTTTTGAAATTTGTGTGAAATTGGCAAAATTGCTAAATTCTGACCACTTTATTGGATAGTTGAAATTGGTAAATGGGTGGTTTCTTGTACTTATTCGATAGAAAAAATGGAGTTCTAGCAAAATAGTTATGATTTTTGTCGACTAGTACACTGGAATAGGCCGAAAATAGGGCTCAAAGTGGGCAAAATCGCCAATGCATAAACGTCGTCAAGACTGCTAACTTCGCGAGAGCATAATTCCGTAAGCTTTCCATCAAATTTCATACTTTTGGTGTCATTATGATCGGGAAAAGATTCTTTATCTTTTCATAAGAAAAAATAATTTTTTTTTTCTTGAAAATTTGGCGACCCTGAGAACAAGTCTCGGAGAGGGCCTGGCGACCCTGAAAGGGTTAAGAAGTTTGTAACTTTTACACAAATAAAACCCAGCGTGGAAAATTTTTATTATTAAATGTTTTAGTAATGAAGCACATGAGATTGTCAGCCAAAAGCATTCATCTTAGTCACTGTATTTAACATGATTTTATTTGTACCAGTTTTTCAAAAAGTAGCTCATACATTAAATAAGGGTCTACTATACAATACCCAGAATAAAATTATGGTAGTAGTGAATAAGAATAAGGTGGAGCATTGTGTAAATAATTGTTATATACAGTATTGTATTTTGTTCATTACTGGACTCGTGTGTAAGCTTGGAATGCCACTTCTACAAAGTTACATACATTCTTTACTGTAGCCAATCTTCCACTGTCCATACGCGTGTTTCTGGCTATATGCATATACTTGATGGCCACACAACATCCATTTAACATAAAACAGTTAACAGTAATAAATTTAAATAAGGAATAAATAAAATATATTTCACCATTTATAGAATATTTAAAAGTACAGTACAGTAGTAAAATATAATTAGCCTGTTAGCTAATGTTTTTCTAATGAGAATGTGCAACATAACTTATCCTGTAAGGTTTTAGCACAGTAACTGAAAAAATACTTCAACAAGGCATACTACTTTTTCCTAGTAATTTTTCTGCATTTCCTTTCAGAACCTTATTGACGAGCAATACGAAAAGGTGTATTACAATCAGAAGAGCAGTTTGGAGTAATACGTTAATTTATTATGACAACACGTGAGTCAGGTAAGGTACTTGCACACGAAAAAAGATATTTTGTCAGCTTACTTAAGGCATGTACTCTACCTAGTGTGCACAGAATAACATATTAACCCTTTGAGGGCCCAGGCCATAGATCTACGCCTTGTCCACAGGGTCCAAGCCGTGGATCTACGCCATGCTCAGCTCACTCAGATAAGCTGTGATCGGTAAATTTGGGCCTAGATATGAGAGAATGCACCTATGTGGTAAGTGTGCACCATATAAAGCAAATTCTGAAGATGCAGTGCATACTGAGAAAAAAAAAAATGACCGTGTTTTTGGATTAAAACAGCAACCTTGCAGTGTAATTTCATGTGGTTTTTATGGTTGTATTTGCAGTTTCTTGGTCTCATTTGATAGAATGGAAGATATATTACAGAAATAGATATTATTTTGATTGGTTTTAATACTGAAAATAGCTTTTAATTGAGTTTAAAGTAGCGGAAATGTTTGATTTTTCCGATTTTTCAAGAGTAAACAGATCACACCACGCATCCAATGCATGTCAGTTGATGGGTCTAATATACGTTTACAAATGCACTGATATTGTTTATACAATTATTACAATATTGCATAAGAGTAATTCATCTATTTTTTGGTGTGAATAAAAATTCTTTAAGTAAACAAAAAATTAAAATGGAATTCATCTGTAAAGCCTGGAAACATAACTGATAAACAGAGAAAATGTTAGTTTAGTGCCAGGAATGTCTGCATTGTTTATTCTGAACCCTGTTTTGAAATTGGAATATTTTGAACTTTATGTGAAATTGACCAAATTACCAATTTCTGATCATTTTATTGGGTAGTTGAAATAGTTGATTGGGCAGTTTCTTGTGCTCAATTGATAAAATAGAAGTAATATTAACGAAATAGCTAAGAATTTAGTTGACTGGAACAATGTAATTGGCCTAAAATAGGAGTCAAAGTGGGCAAATATCGCTGACACAGTAAGATTAGTGATAGTGTAATTTCGTCAGTTTTCCACCAAATTTCATACTTTGTTTTATTATCATCAGAAAAAGATTCTCTACCATTTCATAAGAGAAAATAAAAAATTTTTTTTTATAAATTCTCAGACCCTTTGGACAATGTTTAGATCAACAGCTTGGACCCTCAAAGGTTTCACCACCTTGGACATTAGATATGTATTCCTAGGAAAGTACGGTATTTTTAACTCTAACTGTTTTGTCTGTAGATCTATGTCATTGATGCCAGTGTCACTCAGGGAGGTCTGTGCTTTGGGTACAGCTCCCTTAAATATGCTTAGATATGAGAGAACGAAACTGTGTGGTGAGTGTGCACAGTATAAAACAAAATCCTGCCCCATGCAGTGCATGATGTGTATTGTATAAAATAGCAGACGTAGAGGAAAAGTTGTTTTAATGTCTGGAATGCCTAGTGTTTATTTTGGACCCTGTTTTAAAAATTGAATTTTTTTTTTAAATTTTGTAAAATTGGCCAAATTACTAACTTTTGTGCACATTGTAGGGTAGCTCTGATGGTTGAATGGACACTTTCTTGTTCTCAATCAATAGAAATAGTGAGGAAATTGACTGAATTGAGCATTAGAATTAGATTAAAATAAGACTCAGTGTCTGAAATTATGGCTGTTCAAACTGTGCCCAGACTACCAGCTTTGCACCTGCATAATTCTGTAAGTTTCGTTGATTTTTGCATTTTTGCCATAATTTCTTTCAGAAAAATATTTTCTTACTATTTCTTTGTCTTTTAAATCACAAGCTTATCAGCACTTTTAATTTCAGGAGGCTGACAGTGGAAGGGTTAAGGTTGTACACATGAATATACTTTTTCATCTTTGCTTTTAAACAGTATACGTATTTAGAATGCTTCATTGCATTGGCTTGAGAAGCTACAACACTTCTGTACATTCACTGAAACCTCAAGAGTCACATCTTGATTTCATGACAATCTTTTCAACACAACCCAGTCTCTCTTATAATTAAGTGCTTCTTTTTTTTGTACCGAAACTTATGTTAATCATCACATGAATTTCATTAGCCATTGTTTCTGCATTGTGTTTTCTCTTATGTTTTTACAGTTGATGTAAAAAAAAAAATAAATTATCATAACTAAGCACTAAACTCACAAGGATCATACAGCTCTGCAGTAAAAAAACTAAAATTCTCCACTTTCTTACTAAGTTATTTATTTTGCTTATTTTTTCATTACTAAAAACTACAAAATATTCTTGTCTTGGCTGTTTGGATCTGTTTTTAATTACCTGGTAGCAAGTCAATCAGCAGAACTTTGGAATAACAGCTTGATGTGTACTAGTAAATCATTTTTTTTTTCACGTGGTCCATTATTTTGTTTACCTTTAGGGACCTGGGACAGTACATTGTACTTCAGTAATACTCTAATACTTTTCACTATTAAAAATAAATACAGTAGGGCCCCCCGCTTTATGGCGTTTCACTTTACGACGTTCCGCTAATATGGACATTTCAAATTCTGACCAAACTCACTATATGGCTCCCCCACCTGACTTTCTAATACAGTCACTGCGCCCCACCCGGTTTGTTTACATTCTCTGTGAGCACCGCATCTCTCCATTATGTCTGGAAACTTTCCAAAATTTCAAGTGTTTTTAAAAGTTATTTCATATTTTATGTACATGTACTCTGATAATTATACTTATGTACACCCGTGCCGAAATAAACTTACACACTGTGCTGGCGTGCAGGTACACATTAAAATCAGTAGGAGTCTCTTATGTCTCGAGACACCATATTAATAATAGTAATAATCACCGAGTCTCGTTAAATGTCGTAAATTACATTAATATGCACCTTTTCATTAATCTGTCTGACATTTTTTCAAAATTGTATAATAAACATGAAACTTAATATATAAACATGATAAATACACCCCGCAGTAGAATAAATTAACATAAATATGAGATGTAGTAGCCACACAACTTGTAGGAGTGACGGTAAGAATGTTTTCTCTAGTCCAACATCAGAGAAAATGTGCATACTATAATATTACTGGGGGTAACTGTAGAAAATTATTCTTTCGTATACCTTCACTCAGAGCATCATTTCTTTTAAAAATGGTATGTGCATTATTATTTATTTTCACTTAATCTTTTAAGGTCGACTGAAGGATGCCTCAGCAAGGCGTATTCTGGATGACAGTGCAAGAAGGCGGAGAGCACGCAAAGCTCTGGAGGCGCTGGAACAAGATAATTTTCATGATGATCCTCATGCTAATCTGGTTATGAGTAAGAAAGCGCCAAAATTTGAAGAATCTCTAGATGGGACTAGGCATAAAGATCGTAAAAGGAAAACTAGGAGCACCGAGTATTTCAAGCAAAGGTATGTGGGGCAAAGAGGTTACAGTAAAATGTTCAGCATGTAGATTGAGCAAATAGGGAGACAGTTGTATGACCTTATTCATTATCAGCATATTTATAGTATAAGATGTAAATTATGTTGTGGGGAACAGTACTGTAAGCTTAGGCATGAATGATGTAAGATGGTTGAAAGAAACATCTGGGGCCCTTCAGTAGCTAGAAGTTGTTACGAGTGACAAACCTGCAACTGATTTAGATTATTATGATCAAAAAGAAGTGCTAAATCTACAAGGGTCATACAGTGCAGCTGGACAGGGAAGGGTGCAGGGGCATAGGGTAGCAAGAGGGAGAGGAATTATTATTATTATTAAGCATGGAATGCAGCAAAGCAGGGGTAGAGGGTAGCAAGAGATTGAGGTAGAAAGGGCTGTGAAACTGATTTAGAAAATACTTTCATAGCCCAGCCTGAGATTATGCTTTCCTGAGGCCTAGCCATGAGGGTGTGACCCTTGGATGTTGACATGTTATCTGTGCTGATGACATCTTTATCCTTCATTATGCAGTACTGTATTTGTTAGTGTAGCTACCACCCAACTACTCATTCCACCCACTCATGTTACTTGACTAATCAAAAAATCTTTATCCTGTTAAGATAAAATAATGTTGGCTTCTTATGATTCCAATTGTGAAAGTAGAATTGCCTGTTACATCACGCTGTACACAGATCAGATACTGTGGTGAGAAGTGGAGACAGATGACACACTTGTACTACCATATCTGGGGAGTTTAACATTTCTTAAAAATGCACTTATTCCTACTTCTGTGCAAGTTTATAATTAGCAGTGTCTTGTTGCACATTATTGGTAGGTCCAGGGAGTGAAATTATGGTTCACATTTGTGAAGTAGCATAAAAATAGAAACTTTTTTTTTTCTCTCCAACAAGTCGGCCGTCTCCCACCGAGGCAGGGTGACCCAAAAAAGAAAAAATCCCCAAAAAGAAAATACTTTCATCATCATTCAACACTTTCACCACACTCACACATTATCACTGTTTTTGCATAGGTGCTCAGAATACAACAGTTTAGAAGCATACACATGTAAAGATACACAACATATCCCTCCAAACTGCCAATATAGAAACATGCTGCCAAAACTACTCATGCCATTTGCCAAGATGTATTAAATTCTTCAGGTTTAGGCTTACTAGGAATGTTCTCAAGATATTTTTTCACTTGATTATAAACAAATGCCCTCATTCAAGATATGCTTTAATAAATATTACAAGTATGTGCCATAGTAGCATTCAAATGTTCAAAATAAGAGTAGCAGCACAGTTCTGAGTGAAATGGCGATTTAGCACATGCCATTTTATAATACACGTCATGCAAGTCAATTTTTTGTTACAAAACTAGAGGGCTAAGTTTCAAATACTGTATGCTGACACAGTATATACATGTGGATTAGTTTTCTATGGATGTCCCCTATAATTTTTCCAGATTTCGAAAGAATTTTCCCATCCTGCTTGAAGAAGAACAAGCTCTTTATCCCGAAGGACCAAACTACCTTACAGTGCAAGCACCACCTTCCAAGCTACCTGAAAGGCACCTCTGTGCAGTTTGCGGTTTTCCTGCACCTTATACCTGTATTCCATGTGGTGCACGATACTGTTCCACAAAATGCCTTTCTACTCATGAAGATACACGATGTCTGAAGTGGACAGCATAAGTTTATTTTTTAAATAATCCTGCCTTATACATTAATTAAAAAATAATGAGGATGCATTACTAAATTTTAAAACTGGTCAGTTTAAAACTACATGCCAATATTACATTAAAAGAGTAGTTAAAGCATTTTTATTCTTCCTAAAATATATAAAAACATTAAACACTCAGTGACTTACAGGTGCAAAATTACACATTAAGAGTACTGTTATCTCAAAGTTGGTTTGATAGTTTTACTATGCACCGTACCCATCCTGTGGGAGATAAATTAGAGACACATAATGTATTCAGAGACAGTTCCAAAATTCTGCTAGCCAAGCAGGTTACTGTATGCAGTTTTTAGAAAAATGGACCGATCGAAAAGTGATAATGGGGAAATGATGGCTGTACAAAGCCAATGGAAGTTGGGTAGTGGTAAACTGAAAGATCAGTACTGGAGCAAGCATGTGTACATTGATGAAAGCACATAATAGCAATAACAGTTTAGTTAAAGATGAAATGAAGATCCCAGTGTCATCTAAATCTTCGTTCTACCTGTTTTTTTTTTTTTTTCCAGATTTTTCTAACTTTTTAAGGTGAATTATTATATCCATGGGAGGAGCATTAAACCCCTAGGGGTCATGCAGTATACAGGAGGAGGAAATCAGGTTGCCTGATTGCTTGTTCAGTTTCCTTTACATTGGCAATATGCATCCCACTCTTGAAGGTACAAGTCTCTCAAATCATCCTTTGTGTTGAGGTAGTTTGTATGGAGTTTCTGAGCCACTCAGTCTTGTGACAAGCAAGTGACCTGAAAATCAATGTTGCATCACGGAAGAAGCTGGGAGCATGGCCAAAGTACCGAGAAGGTCGGAGGTATCAAAGGGGTCAGGGTGGATGCTTGCACCAGGGTCAGGCAACAGAGGTGCCCAACAGCAGTATTAGGTCCAGAGAGTCCAGGGAATCTTCAACATATTGTGTAGGTCCAAGTTGGACTGAAAAGTTTTCTCCCATGTGCAGGTTATTTGTGTATTAATCCAGTCACTGTATTGTACCTTTTTATTATTTGTAGGATGAAGATTATGCATAGGTTAGGAATCCTCTTCAGCTCCCTGTTTTCCCACCTACCATATAGCCCAGCAAGGGGAGGCTTAATATCATGGGGAGTGCTCAACCCATTTGGATTATACAGCACTTTTGGGGGGGGAGGGGGTGAAGGCATTCAGGAATTTGAGCAGATCCAATTCACTCTACGTATTATTATTATCAAGGGGAAAGTGCTAAACCCGTAGGATTAAACCACTTCTGGGGGGGATGTGGTTTAACCCTTTGAGGGTTTCAGCCGTACTCGTACGGCTTACGACCCAGGGTTTTTGACGTACTAGTATGCCTAAATTCTAGCGCCCTCAAATCTAGTGGGAGAAAGCTGGTAGGCCTACATATGAAAGAATGGGTTTGTGGTCAGTGTGCACAGTATAAAAAAAATCCTGCAGCACAGTGCATAATGAGAAAAAAAAAAAAAACTTACTGTTTTATTCCAAAAAAAAAAAGTGACTTTGCACTGTATTTTCTGATGGTATTTATTGTTGTATTCTAGTTTTCTTGGTCTCATTTTATAGAATGGAAGACATATTACAGAAATTGAGATGATTTTGACTGGTTTTACAATGAAAAGTACCTTGAAATTAAGCTCAAAGTAGCAGAAATGTTCGATTTTTACCAACTTTCAAAAGTAAACAAATCATGCCAAGCGCCCAATACACGTCAACTGGTGAGTCTAATATTCTTTCGCAAGTACGCCAATATTATTTATACCATTTTTTACACTAATGCAGTAGTCTGCCCGAAATGCCTAGCCATGCTAGGTGTTCTAGTGGTACACTCTGTAATTATTATTTTACTGTGTGTAAACCACACAATAACCAAATTCTGTAAACTCAGCATTGTAATCCTTAGAGAATAAACTTTGAATTTTAATAAATCTTCTATTTTTTGTGAGAATAAAAATTCAAAGTGGAAAGAAAAAGAATGTAAGAGGGGCCTTGAGATGTGACAATGAACAGGGGAAATGTCTTTTTAGTGCCGAATGTCTTTCTTGTTTATTCGGACCCTATTCCGGAAATGGCATTTTTTTAAATTTTGTAAATTGGCAAAATTGCAAAATTTCTGACCCGACTGGATAGTTAAATTGAAAATGGTGGTTTCTTGCACTCATCGATAAAAAAGTGGAGTTCAAGCAAATTTCATGTTTTTTGCGCTGACAGGGAATTGCCAAAAAAAGGGGCCAAAGTGGGAAAGATCGCCGTGCATAAACACGCCGGACAGTAACTTTCGCGAGAGAAAAATCTGAAGTTTCCAAAAATTTTCAAATTTTTTGGTGTCATTATAAAACGGGAAAAGTTTCTCTATTTTTTCAAAATTTTTTTTTTTTTTTTTTTTTTTTTTAAATTTGGCCGACCCGAGAATTTTTTTCCGAGAGGGCCTGTCACCCTCAAAGGGTTAATGCGGGGGAACGGGAAACAGATCCCTCTTAAAGGGGGGCCCTGGGGGGGCGAAGACTTTTGGTCTAGGAAATTTAGCCCTGTGGGTCTTTTTCCCAGACCGAACCTAATTACCCCCCATTCCCCCTCCCCCCTACCCCATCCCCCCTTTTTTCCATTCCTCCCCTCCCACCCCCCCCTTTTGCCCTTCCTCTTTTGGGCCTTTGGGTTTTTCCCCCACAGGCGCGCTAGTTCCAGTGGGGAAAAAGGACACGGGGTCCACCCCATTCCTTTAGGTTCGGGCGGGGCGAGTTTCCCGGGGAATCGGGATTGCCGGGGAGCCCGACCCCTCTCCGGTATCCCGGAGTAGTTTTGGGTGTCTTGGGGCGAGGGGTGTATCTCGGGAAGCCACCTTTCGGATTCCGGGGGTGGTGGCCGAAGGGGGTATACTTTGTGGCGAATCCGCCGCCCTCTTTTTGTCCACCGAGGTAGCTCGGCATGTGGGGTGCTTCCCGATTGCGGGTTTACGGCATGAAGGTAGGGTATGGCACGGGTTCCATGCTGCTTTGCGCTACTACGGTGCTGAGTCCTCTGGGCGCGGGGGGAATTTCCGGCCTTCATTCCTCCTGGGAACTTTCCCCCCGTCCCCCCCTTTTTTTTATTCTTTTTTTTTTTATTTATTTTTTTTCTTTTTTTTTTTTTTTAAAAAACAAAAAGAAAAGGGAGAAACCTAACCTGGCAGCCCTATCCTGAACCCCACTACCCCCCGGCCCCTTCTTGAAAAAGCACCCCAAAATTTGACCCCCTTGTGTTTAGACCACCTTCGGACACTCCTGATGCCCCTGTCCCTCGCTGGTGCTGTTTCCTAAAACCCCTTTCAGGTAGGGGGCTTCGACTGACCCTTTTGTTTTGTCTGAACCCCCCGTCTCCTTTGACATGTTTCCCCCTTCTCCCTCTACGGTAGGGCAATTTTCGAATCGCCCCGCCCTTTCACCCGGGGCCCAACTCCGGCCCTACTCCTAAACGCCAACGCAATCCCTGATGAGCCCCTTCTTACCTTCCCATTCTACCGGAAAAAGACTGACACGCAAGCACTCCCCTCCACCTCATTTCGGACCACACAAGGGACTAAATTCTTTACTTTAAACCGACTTCTCTTCTGCTACCTTTCTACCAAGTTTTTGGGCAAAGCTTTTCCTCGTCATGTTGGTAGAGATATTTCAATTCATGCTCTTTAAGAGGGGTATGCCATCGTCACTGTCCGAATGCTACCCAAGCTCATATCTTTCTCTCCTTTCAATATCGATACTACTCCTATCACTTTGAAAAAACTTCTCTCAATTTTTGTAGTGGTATTTTTTTTTTCCCCCCATACCAAGTCCAACAGAATTTCCATCATGTGGAAATGACTTTTTTTGAACAGCTGGAACTCCGGGATCCCCAAATCCTAAAAGTGACATTTATGTCCTTCCTGCCCAGGGGGGGAATGTTACCCTTGCAATGGGGCTCTTTAATTTTTGACAGCCGAGAACTCCCTCCTCTGAATTCACGGAAAATCGGTTACAATTCGAAAGGTATCCCTACACCGCAACAATGTAAAATTTGCGGCGTTTGGTCACCCAGCGAAATATTGCAGATCGGGCCCGAATGCCCATCTGTGGTCCCCGACGACCATTCAATACACTTGCAGTCAACCTCCATCTTGCCTTTAAATTTTGAATGAAGCCACCCTTTGTACTCCCCCCATCCCGGTCTACTTAAAAACTGAAATCCTTCCCCAAAAGAGGCAGGTCCCCTTAACATGGCAGTTACTCATCTCCCCGCTCCAAGGGAGACATTTCCGGTTTCCAAAACCCCCCCCCCAAATCCGGGGCCCCTTCGAACCCCTCTGTTTTTTACCCCCCCCTAGCCCACGGCATCAAATTTCCTTTTTGCTGCCCTTTGGGCTCTGACGCCCCGACTAAAAATCATCTTTTCTCACATTTTCCTCCTTCCCCAAAAAAACCCCATTACGAAAAACCCTTTGTACGCCCACCAATCCCAAAATCGCCCCTAAAACTCAGAAGCCCAAAAAAATCCACTTTTGCCAAAAAACTTTCCCCCTTTCCCTTCCCTTTTCCCACCTCCCACTTTACCTTCCAGTCCTGTACCTAGTTTTTTCCCCCTCTCGGGCTCTTTTACAAGTGAAGTTTCACCCTCCCCCGATACCTTCCACCCCCGCCCCTCCCAAGTTTCTCCCTCTTCTTCCCCCCCCCACACTTCATCCCATCCCTTCACTCTTTCCCCCCCCCTCTATTTTGGTACAGCCATTACTGTCCCAATTTTTACCACCCTCCTCCCCTACCCCCAATATGGTCTCCCATAATCTTGAATTCAGAAACACTTAAGCCATTTCAAAATATATTGCAGGCAAAAAACCTCATACCTGATTCACTTCCTTTCCTTCCCCTTCATTTTAAAAAAACCCCCATTCTTCGCAAAAGCTCCTTCCTTCGCACTTGAACGTTTTTCCAAATGCCCCCCAAAACGTTGACTTTTAAAACCCCCTATCCGTAGGTGCCTTTACCTACAATTCCTGGTATTTTTTTCTTCCAACAGGCCATTTACAGTGGAATACCCGGCCTCGGGGGTAAGGGGGTGAGCTCAGATTTTTGCTTTCCA